AGTCTGTACCAACTCAATGGCACCTAACAACTACAACGACAATACCCTATGACAGATAAAGTAAATGGGAAATCCCTGCATAAGTAATCTGAATGACAAAAATAATAAATTCAATATCTGTCCCAATAAATCAAATACATTATTCATCGCCTTCTCCCAGCCCTGCAGCATTGATAAGAAATGGACTTGTATCTTACATGAGGGCTTGGATCCTAATTAGCCTTCAGAGTGGCTATAATGGGTGGTAAGAAGTAGCATGGGGATTGCTGCAGACCAGGTATATGGTGTGCTGTTAGCCTCTCAGCAAGCCAACAGAGCCTGTGTGTTCTCCAGTGATGGAACAGGTTCCTTGGGTTGAACATAATAATAAGTTAAGCAAAACAGGTGGATTGTAGTTCAGAGCTGGGAAGCTACTTTCTCTACTTGGTCTGCTGAGGCTCTCCTCTGAGGATCTAACAGTGGCAGTCAAAGAGCCAGTGACAGAAATTTTGTGACATTCAGACCCTGGCTATGGAGTAGTATGCCACTCTGCAAGACCTCTTATTTCTATACAGAAGACAGACTTTACATGGCATCAAACTATAGGGCACACCTGAAGGCAGTTACATTGCTCTGAGGACCAGGTAGCACCATTTATTCCAAAAGAACTTCTTTTCTCATTATTTATCATATAATCACTAGGACTTGGGTCAACCAAATAGGATCGAATCATGTATATTATAAATGAGAAGAAATCCCAACCAATAGGGCATGAAGCATGCGGAACCTTCAAGGTGAAATGATTGGGGCAATTAAGAATCTTTTGAAGGCAAGCATGACGTTGGAGTGAAAATTAAACATTCTTTGCAACGATCTAACGCTCATTTTCAGAACACAAGCCATCCTGTTACACATGTGCAAATCTTCATAATTCTGCAGGATTTCCAAAATAAACCTTGAAATTTAACAAGTGAAACCAGGAAAGTTCTTTTCGTTTGTTGAAACTTTAAGTCCCAATTGACATGGATAAGAACACAGATGCCTTTTATCCAAAAAGAATGAATGGTCCCCAGAATTACTTTGCCTTCTCTGCTCCACCCATTTCTTTTCATTGGCTCTGTGTGTATGAGGCTCAGTCCAGCGCCTTGTGCTTCTGGTGTGTCTCATGCCCATATCTGGGCTTCTGTTGAGTAGTTTTCATTTTGTGTTCACTTCTGCCTTTGGTTGTTGTCTTGTTTAGTTGGTCCGCAATATAGAAAAATTTTGGTATAGTTATTGAAGAGCATTGAAAATTTTATAGTCTATTTAAAAAATCAAATGAGTACATTAGAATCCTAGAAATGTTGCTCCATATAGACTTTAAATGGCTATACTTTCTGGGAGTATACAGTTAAATAGAGATTCATGTTCTGAATATACTGAAAGAATGGAAATAGAGCATAGAACTGCAGATCAGTAGAGGGGGAAATAAAGAAAATAAGAGTGTGGACAATCCATCTGATGGCAAGAAAGAAGAAGAAATAAATGAAGCAAACGAAACAACCTCCACAAAATAATATGACAGAAGTTTAAATAGATAAGGGTTTCTCAACCATGGGACTATTGAGATTTTGGACCAAGTAGTTCTTTGTTGTGGGAGGCTGTCCTGATCATCGTAAAATGTGCAATAGCATCTGTAGCTTTCCTCACTGGTACCAGTAATTTCACCCCTGTTGTGGTAACCAAAACTGTCTCCAGAAATTTCCAAATATCTTCTAGTGGACAAAATCTTCCACCATTGGGGACCATCAAAATGTAGCAATAATTATAAAAACACATAATTGAATAGAACTTTTCCTGCTAAAGAAGAGAGACTATCTGACTAGAGTCCTAGTGTGGCGCTCGCTGTAGGATTAGCACTAGACTGCCAGCCTAAAGGTAGGTGGTTCAGACTCTCCAGATGCTCCTTGGAAATGGAAAGGTCAACATATTCAAACTTGTGAGGGAAAGTTAATTCAGAATGTCATCATTCAGAGCAGTATTGCCTTTGGGAAGAGAGAAGAGGTAGTGGGGAGGACCGTGAAGAGATTTTGGATGTTATTACTCATCTTTCTTGATTTAGGTAGTGTTTACAAAAGTGGATTTAGATTTTGATAATTAATCAAATTGTCTAGTTTTGATTTGTGCACTTTTCTTTATGTGCTCTCCTCCAAAAGGAGTTTTAAAAGATACAAGTCAAACAGCACTTACAGGTAAACTAAAATGGATAAGTGCTATCAAGTAGGTTCCGACTCATAGTGACCTGTATAGGGTTTCTGAGGAGGGTTTAAACCAATGACCTTGAGACTAGCAGTCCAGGGCTTATTCTACAGTACCACACCAAAGTGGATATAATAGAAAACATGACATATTGAAAACTCATGGGTGAAGCATTAAAATCAAGAATCAGGAAGCACAGTTTCCTAGTAATGAAGAAATTCCCAATGGAAAATATTGATATAGAAGAAGTGGTCAGAATAAAGGAAGCATTAAAGTTAGGATTCAAGAGGCTGTAGCAACCCCTTGCAGCAAATTCTCTTTGTCATATTACCTAAGCGTATGGAAATTGGGTGTAACAATAAATACTTTGTAATTCCTTTAAAAACTGGAAATGATTCTTCTAGGTCACAGCACGCAAACCATGTGACAGTAAGTAGCCAGGGAGCTTCAGGCTTAGGAGGGCGTTCCTATTAGAAGACAGAAAACAACAATAATAATAATTCAAAAAGACGACCTCAAAATACACTTTCATTTTATTTAAGTGAAAGATCAATCATAAATTTAAAAAACATAAAACAAACTCATTGTTGTTGGGTGGATCCCGACTCATAGTGAACCTTCAGGACAGAATTAAACTGCCTCATAGGGTTTCCTAGGCTGTCAGTCTGTACAGATGCAGACTGCTACATCTTTCTCCCTAGAAGTACTGGTGGGGTTCAAACTGCCAACCTTTTGCTTAGCAGGTGAGCTCCTTCTAATCTCTAATGTTGTTGCTGTTTACCACTAAGTCGGTTTCTACTCATAGGGACCTGATGTAGGGTTTCTGATTAGTGGCTGGTTTGAATTGTCAACCTTGTGGTTAGCATGTTAATAGTCCAGTGCTTATGCCAGAGTGTCACACCAGGGCTCAAATCTCTAATAGAATATTAAAAATAATCATATCCTTGGGCAAGTAATAAAAGATGGTGAAATAGAAATGGTGTTGGATCAATTCTACTTGTAGACCTTTGCACGGAAGTACAGCTGATGAAAGGTTTTCAGGTTGACATATACAAGAAAGGAGAGTTGACCTGGTGATCCTTCTTAAGGTTAATTATTTCATTTTTTTCTAGAGACCCAGAGTCTTCAAATTTTCTCACCCCGCAGAGATGGAGACAATTGAGTAGTGGATAAATATGAGTAGGAACACCAATGGTAACCCCATCCCAGTTGGAATGAGTACAAGCCTAATTAATCATTTCACAGATTCCTGGAATTTTCTGGGAAATAATATTATGCCTCTTACCAATATTTCATGAAGCACTTATATGTGGATTAACAGTTTAAAAAAAAAAAAAAAAGATAGTGAATTAGCTGTGATTGTAGATTGAATTAGTTCTTTGAGCAACAGCATGAATACTTCCTGAGGTTCTGTGCTATATTTAAAAGAAAAACAGCTTCATTGAGATATCATCAATATATCATGCAATTTATGCATTTAGAGAGTACAGTCTGGTGGATTAGGTATGCTTACAAATATGTGTAGTTATCAACACCTCAAGTTTAGAGCATTCCATCACCCCCCAAAGTAATGATTCCCTTTAGCTACCATCTCTTCACCCACATTGTGGCGTGCATCAGTACTTCAGGTTTTTTTTTAAACACCAAATGATATTCCACTGTATTCATTCATCACTTGATAGGCATTTGGATTGTTTCTACTCTGGGGCTATTATGAATAATGCTGTTATGAACATTTATGTGCAAATTCTTGTGTGGACATATATGTTTTAATTTCTCTTGGATATAAACCGTAGAGTAGAATTGCTGGGTCATATGGCAGTGCCAGGATTGATCATTTTAGGAACTGCTGATTATTTTCCAAAGTAGCTACATTCCTGCCAGTGAATGAGAGTTCCAGTTTCACAGAGGACTAAAGATTTTGGACTTGTCAACCCCCACAATCTTGCTCTCTGTGTACATATGTATGCCTTGCTGTTTCGGTTTCTTTAGAGAATCTTGACTACTCATCTGCTGATGCAAATTCAGGTTGT